TCAGCATATCTAGAGGTCTTTGTTTTAGGAAGGTCAGCTATTCCTCATCTAGCAGCAATCAGTTGTCAATATTCCTTTGTATAAGATTGGGATCTGCTGTTCATTTTCCCAGTTCTATGCTGGTTACTATCTGGGAGTCCCTTTGGCCAACAATGAAATTTTTTTATTTTGAGACAGAGTCTCCATGTAGCCTCAGCTGGCCTGGAACTCGCTATATAGACCAGGCTGGCTTTGAACTCACAGAGATCCGCCTGCCTCTGCCTCCCGAGTGCTGGGACTAAAGGCGTGTGCCAGGCTACATAATTCATAACTTAGATGTGAACACATAAACTTAAGCTTTTGTGATGGTTAATTTTGTGTGTCCTTGGTTATAATATACAATTTTTAGGTCAAACACTAGTTTGTCATCACTGTGAAGGATTCTCTCTCTCTCTCTCTCTCTCTCTCTGATTGTAACTTACATGAAAATTAGAATTTGAACAAAGCTACCCACTATGCATAATGTGCGTATACTTCATCAAATCAGTTGAAGACCTTAAGGAGAAAAGACTGGGCATTCCCTGGAATTTTTGCCTGTGAAATACTTTTTAATTCAAAACTGCAAAATGACTTGTGCCAGAAATTCTAAACTGCTAGCCTGTCCTGCAAACTGAAGCCTTTCCAGGACTATGTGAGAAACTTCCTTGAAGTAAATCTCCATCAGTGTGGAGATGGATAAACAAGAGATACACTCCTCACACTGTTCCCATTTCCCTCAAGAACCGTACAACTTCTTAAATAACAAGTGTGGGGTTATTTGGTGGTTTGCTAATTTGTCTTTTTGTTTGACTTGTTAGAGGTTGTTTTGGTTTTGGTTTTTGCATGCTGGGAATCAAACCCAGGGCCTTGTATGTGCAGGCAAGACTTCTACCACTGGGCTGTGTGTCTAGGCTGTGATAAGAGTCTTCACAGAAGAATGCTTTGATTCACATGGACCTCTGGAATACAAGCAGGCGCTCTCAACAGAACCTTTTCCTAGTTTTGGTCTTTCAAAACAACCACTTGTGCTCTTTTAAAAATTGTGGAAGCTTTATTCTACTTTTTCTAAATAAGTATTGCCCTGGCAATTGTACTTTTACCAAAAAAATTAAAACCAGAGGTTGGATTATTTAAATAACCACTTTATATACTTGTCATTTATTTAAAAGTGAGTCATTTAGCAAAACTTGACTTTTGGTTGACAGTATTTAGGCTACAGCACTCCACCTGTTGACAGACTAAATGGTGTTATTTAATTTGAACTGTTTCTATTAGAAACATCCCCTAAACACCATCTAATACTTACGTGCTGATTTGAAGGTCCCAAATCTCAACTCTGCTCTCATTTGCAGCAGCAAATATATAGGATGATTTTGGTGACCAGGCAACATCATAAACAACATAAGTAGTTGGATAAAAACTCAAAACTGGCTTGAAAGTCTCTTGATGCCACATCATGACACCCCAATCTGCAGAGCAGCTTAAGAAGACATCATGACAAAATGGGTGCCATGTTACCTTATACACTGGACCCTAGAAAATGTAAATTGGACAAATAATATTTAGCAATGTCACATCTTAAATTCAGCCAACCAATTAAAAATTGCTAACATTTCAATAATTTTGCACACCACCAAGTATTATATAGGCACTATTTCAGCTGAATGTAAGTGCATAAATGGAATCTTCCCATAACTGCTTTAGATATACATGAGATAATGGCCACCAAATGTTAGTACATACAGCCTCAGGAAAGATAAATAAGTATTAAGAGGAGCGAAATTTGGAAGAAATGATCATAAAGAGAGACAAAAATAAATATAGGCCAGAGACAATTTTGTCTTGAGATCGGCATAAGCAGCTAATTGAAGCTGGTATTAACTGCAGTTGCAAACTTATTCTATCTGTCAAATGCATTGTATATATTTTTTTCAAAAATACTGTCAGATACAGTTTTCGTATCTACTGAAATTAAACTAACCTTATGTCCTCTATAGGTCTCTAGGTATTGTTCATTGTATGAACAAGAACACTTGTGAATAAGACCTTCTTCAGTACCAGCCAAATATATGTTTGTGTCCTACAACACAAGATGTATTATTGTGTTAAATACAAGATTAGACAATCAAATATTCATCCAATTCAACAATCACTCAAAAGAAATGCTATCTTGAATACAATGTTTTGTCCTTTTCATGATTTTACAATGATGAAACCTCTTTGAAAGACTATTAAAGCCAGGTATGGTGGTGCATGCCCATAATCCATGCTCTCAGGAGGCTTTTATACACTGTCAGTATAAGAGTTCTTGACCCACTCAAGATTGGTCACACCAGAAATCTGATGTGTTGCCATTGTATGTGATGAATAACTATACATGGTTTTAAGCCCCATTTATGTGGATATCAGTAAGACTGATTTTTTTATATTTATTGGCCATTTTATTTAAAGATCTGTCCTTTTCATGTCCATCTGCAAAAATTCTTTGCATATTTTAGAACCTACTGTTTTGACTATTACATGTTACAAATATCTTCTCCTGGCAGGCGGTTTTTCTTTTTGTCTTATATTTTCTTTCACAAACAGCTGTCCTCACTTTATTTCATAGTAGTATTTCTGTGCTTTTACAAATCTTTTCCTACTTGGAGTCCATAAAGATATTTCCTGGCATTACCCTCATGGCTTTTTTCTCTGTTTCATCATAGCATTATACTCTCTCTCTCTCTCTCTCTCTTTTTTTTTTTTTTTTTTTTGGTCTTTTTGAGACAGGGTCTCCCTGTAACTATTCTCTTTTCTTTCTTCCTTTTATTCAACACTGTTTCTTGTCATTCCTTTCTTTCATTAATTTAGCATTTTAAATTTTACTCTAATTTTTTAATTCATAGATTGCTGTATTTCCACCATTTTATGTTCCTTAGAACATAAAATAGAGTAGTTGGCTTTAACCGGTTATAAGCATATTTACATGCTTGGTTTGGTGTTGCTCTTACTGTGGTTTTTTCTCCACTCTGAGTGGTACTAGGAATTGAGCTCTGAAGACAAGGCTCCTTTTGAGAAGACTCTCAAAGCTAGAAGAGATACTGACTCCAACAGATGCATACATTCTAACACGGAGACAAGAAAAAGCGAGAAAAAGAGGCTCAATCAGAAGATCAACACGTCTCAATTATTAAATATAATGATACTGAAATGGTAAAAATGCTGGCCCAGGAATTCAAACCTACTTGTAAAAATGATGAATGACTCTTCAGGGAAGAAGTGCATGACCATACTGAAAGAGAGTCCTACAAGTTCCTGGAACCCTGTTCATTTGAACCTACAGCAATGGTGTCAGCATGCACAAGACCCGTGCAAACAAGCACACAAAAACTCAGCACAGAACTGGGGAAATGGACAGCAGACCCCAATCTTAACTGAAGAAATATTGGCAGCCGATAACTGCTGGGTGAGGAAGAGCTCATCTTCCTAAAGGGAGGGACTCTACATAGGCTGACGAGACCTCCGTAGATGAGCCTGCACTGAAGAACGTCTGGGGACACTGACTCGATACAATGGACCTTCCTTAACACAAATGACAGAATGCACGAATTCCAGCGGGGGGACTATGGCAGGGTATCAGTGCGGAAGGGGTTATAAAGATGATTAAGAGTGACTGAGATGTTCTGTATGAAATACACAAAAATTCGATAATTTTTTAAAAATTATGTATACACCAACTAAAAAGACTCATTTTGTTAAAAAAAAAAAAAAAAAAAGACAAATGACTTCCAAGTGGACACAAACAAGCAGATGAATGCAATAAGGAAATCAGTGAGGACCTGGTTAAGGAAGTCAGCAGCACGGAGGAGAAAGTCCCGACCAAGTAGCAAGGATGAAAGGTGAGGCAGAGCAGTTCTACAGTCAGACATCAGTAAAAAGGAAACAATATGACCACAACTTAGACATGACAAAGAAAACAAACCTATGAATCCATGGCAAAAGAAGGTTCTGTTAATAAAATAAATAATTAAAAGCATAGCAAAATGTCTTCAAAGACATTATAGCTAACCCCCACCCCCAATTTCAGGGAAAGAAACATCCAAGTATAAGAGGTATTTAAAATTTCAAATACACATGACTAGCAAACAACCTTTCCATAACACATTAAAAGCTTCAAAGGAAAAACGCCAATGCACTTGGAAGGTAAACAAATCAGAATAACATCAGACCTCTTGACATAAACCACAAAAGTCAGGAAAGCCTAGAATGACGTAGTTCAAGCCCTGAAATAAATAACTGCTGACCAAGACTATTTTGCCTGTTGTGGACTGAATATGAAATGACCTCCAAAGGTTCAAGTGTTTGAACATTTGGTCTCCTTGCAGGTGGCACTGGTTTGGGAGATTGTAGAAGCTTTAAGAGGCTGAGCCTTGCTGGAAGTAGGACACCATTGGGGGTTGGCTTATGAGGTGTAACCACAGTCCCACATCTAGCTAAAGCTCTGTTTCAAGATTCACTGAGATGTGAGTGTCTTTCAAACTCCTACTAGAATAGCCCTTAAAACTCTGCTTAAAACATTCAGTAGCAGTTCTAGACCAAAGTTCCAAATTCTTTCACACTCCTTCAAACCTGTTCTAAAGGCCGAAGATTCACAAGGTTAGGTTTATCACAGCAGTGGCTCCACTTCTTATACCAATTTTCTGTTTTACTTTTCCTGTTGCTGTGATGAAATATCCTGACAAAAAGCAGCTTAAGGGAAAACAAGTTTGGCTCACAGTTTCAGAGTACAGTCCATCCTGGTAGGGAAGTCATGCTGTCAGGAGCCTTGAGGCATCTGGCCACATTGCACTGCCAAGGATAGGAACCACTCCACCATGGATGACATAATGTCTTCCCTATCATGAAACCACAAACTGTAATAAATCCTTCCTCCCTTAAATTTCTTTTCCCAAGTATTTGGTCATAGTGATGAGAAAAACAAGTTATATGCCATCAAAGTTTTCTTTTAAAGTCAATGGGAAAATATAAACCTCCCAAGATAAATACAAACTAAAGCAACTCATGACCCCAAACCTGCAAAGCAGAAGATACTTAAAGGAATCCTTTACACAGGGGAGAAAGAAAGACAGTCTCAATCATCAGAGTGCAGGAAAGAAAATTTTCACCATAGGAATAAATGTACTAATAGACAGAAGAAATCATGTGCAGCTCACTGAACAGCAAACCACTTACATAAATTGGGGGGAGGGATAACCAACAATAGTTGAATTAACAAGGAAAGAAAGAAACTATTACAGGGGACACTAATCCCTTTCAATAATAACATTAGATGTAAATGCTCTTAACTCTCCAATTACAACATGCAGAAACACACCTCACTCGCCAAGAGACTGAAAGTAAAAGGATGTAAATTGATACTTAGAGCAAGTGGAAGCCGGAAGTAGTTATATTCATATCTGATACAGTAGACTTCAAGCCAAAATTACCCAGAAGAGATAAACGACTGCATAGAATCTAGGAGAATAATTGGGGTCTGGAGAGATGGCTCAGTGGCTAAGAGCACTGAACCCAGGATTGGTTCCCAGCACACACACAGCAGCTAACAACCATGCATAACCCCAGTTCCAGGAGCTCTGATACCCTTTTCTGGCCTCCAAGGGCACTGCACACATGTGGTGCACTTACATGCATGCACACTTACACAAATATAATAAACTTTTTAAAAAGAATAATCAGAGTTCTTAATATATATACATATATATGTATATTAGTTACTTTCCTTGTTGGGTAAGACAGTGGGCTAGAAGCAGCCTCTCTGTGACCCAGTAAAGAAGACAAGAAAAAAAAGACATATTCTAAAGAAAGAGAGGAAAAGCTTCAGAAATCCACAGAGGAGGAAGTTGAAGATGACAGATGACACAAAAGTAGAATCTGCTGGAGTCTCCAGGGGGTAAGTTAGACAGGAGACGTCAGAAGAGATGAGTGATATCCACATATCACTGGTTTTAACAGAAAAAGTGAAATAGAGAACTTTACAATACAGGGAGAGAAAGTCCAGAGTTAGTCTGGAGGAGTTGGCTTAGTTTGGGGAGCTCCCCACTCCCAGGGAGAGGAAAGACCTGTAGTAGATGGTGAAAGCAATCCTTTAAGACCGATTGTGATGTTAATACTGTCAAATTGACAGGATCCAGCATCACCTAGGAGCTAAGCTTCTGGAACACACGTCAGGGACTATCTAGATCATGGTGGTCTCTGGTGGTGCCTGTGAGCTTATCTAGATTAGATTCATTGAAGTGGGAAGACCCACTTTAATTGTAGGTGGTGTCTTTCCATGGCCTGTGGTGCTGGACTGAATACAAAGGCAAAAATGAGCTGAGCACCTGCATTCATCTTCCTCTGCTTCCTGACTGCAGTGCTATGTGGCCGATGCCTCAAGGCTCCTGACAGCATGACTTCCCTACCAGGATGGACTGTACTCTGAAACTGTGAGCCAAACTTGTTTTCCCTTAAGCTGCTTTTTGTCAGGATATTTCATCACAGCAACAGGAAAAGTAAAACAGAAAATTGGTATAAGAAGTGGAGCCACTGCTGTGATAAACCTAACCTTGTGAATCTTCGGCCTTTAGAACAGGTTTGAAGGAGTGTGAAAGAATTTGGAACTTTGGTCTAGAACTGCTACTGAATGTTTTAAGCAGAGTTTTAAGGGCTATTCTAGTAGGAGTTTGAAAGACAAGAAAGCTGAGAAACAATATGAACAGTAGAGGCAAGCTCAGGGGTTTCACAGGTGAACAAGTCTCTGTCAGGAACAAGGTTAGGAGCCATTCATGTGGTAATCTGGCAAAGTACCAGATTCAGATGGATTCACTGGTGAATTCTGTCAGACATTTAAAGAACACCAATGCTTCTCGAATTAGTCAACAGAATAGGAAAGGAAGGAATGCTTCCAAACTCCTTCTATAGAACCAGGATTACCCTGATACCAAAAGCAGATAGACACAACAGGAAAAGAAAATTATAGACCAATCGTCCTTATGAACATAGATGCAACATTTCTCAATAAGATACTTGTAAATTGAATTAAGGACACATCAAAAAGATCATTTACCATGATCAAGATGATGTCATTCCAGAGATGCAGGGATAGTTCAATATAGATTAATCAATAAATGCAGTATGTTATACAAATGAACCCAAACAGAAATCATGTGATCATTTTCATTGATGCAGAAATGCTTTAGACAAATTCAACACTTCTTTAATGATGGAAGCCCTGAAGCCAGCAGGAATACAAGGTACACATCTCATCATAATAAAGAATATATATTACAAAACTATAGTCAACGTCATAGTAAATGGGAAAAACTAAAAGCATTTCCACTCAAATCAGGAACAAGACAAGGGTGTCCACTCTCTCAGCTACTATTCAACATAGTTTTAAAAGTCTTAGCTAAACAATAAGACAAGATAAGGAAATAGTAATGCAAATAAGAAAGGAAGAAGTCAAAGTATCCATACCTGCAGATGATATTATTCTGTGTAAAAGATTATAAAAACGCTATCAGAAAGCTCCAAGATTTCTATCAGTAACAAACGTACCTAGACAGAAGTTGAGAAAACAATGCCAGTCAATCAAAGAGCTAGTTCTTTGAAAAACAACACTGACAAATGCCACCCAAAACTACCCAAAGAAAGACAGAGACCAAAATTAATAAAATTAGAGATGAAAAGTAGGGTCCTAGTGCAGATTTCAATGAAATCCAGAGTATCACCAAGAAATACTTGAAAAACTCATATTCTAAAGATCTGAATAATCCATAAGAAATGGATAGAGACTATCCTGAGCTACCTGAGACTCCTGAGAGTCTGTCTCAACCCCTCCTCCCCAAATATTAAGATAAATATGTGTTAGAGGGGAAAACAGAAGTGAGACTATGTGGGAAGGAGGGCCTGAGACTCCTGAGAGTCTGTCTCAACCCCTCCTCCCCAAATATTAAGATATGTGTTAGAGGGGAAAACAGAGGTGAGACTGTGGGAAGGAGGTGACCAGTGAGAGGAGACAGAGAGTGCAGTGAGGGATGGATACACACAGCGCACAGTGATATACACATATGAAAATGGGAAAACAAGACCTTTAGTTTGTGCTAACAATTAATTTTAAAAACTGTATCCAGAAAAAGAAGTGCACAAATCAGTTTGCCCAGTTTACATCTTAAGAAGTTAGTGAGACAAGAACAATGTCAAACCAGTGTAAACTGAAGAAGGCAAATTACCAAGATCAAAGCTATAACCAATTATACAGAAAACAGAAAAGTAGAATTAAAATCAATTGCATCAGAATTGAGTTTAGGAGATAAATGAAACTGATGAACCAGGTGCAGTGGTGTGCAGTGCAATCTAGCTATTGTAGGAATAACATGGGAGCCTAGGAGTTCGAGACCAGTCTAGACAGCACACGGAGTTTGAGTCCTGACTGAAACCCAGATAGATTAACCAAAAACAGAAGATACAAATTAACAATATTAGAATTAAATGGCCTCATTAAGTCATTAAAGGGCATGAAGAGGCATTCTAAAGTTATTAAAGGATGTTACTAGACTATTAGTATGTGTATACAGCCAACAATATGGATGAAATAGAAAAGTCCTTAACAGACACATTACCAATGCTCATGCAAGAAGAAAACAGAGGAGCAACACCATTTCTATTAAAATTTGAATTTATGGTTAAAATTTTCACTCCAAGCTCAGATGGTTAATACTATCAAGTGTGATGACAAAATAATGCTAATCTTATGCAAATTCATTTTAAAAAGAACTACACAGGGTCATCACTACCTTTATTTATTTTTAAAGTTTTTCATCCGAAGCAAGACAAGAATCTTCATCTTCACCAGCTCTAGTCTTTATCTCATTGAATCAGATTTTGACAAAATTAATTTTAAATATTATTTTTCATTTTCTGTGTAATTGATTCCCTCTCTCATCTTGATAATTTTCCTTCTAAAGTTTACTTTAGTTTTTAAAAAATATTTTATGCCGGGCATGGTGATGCACGCCTTTAATCCCAGCACTCAGGAGGCAGAGGCAGGCGGATCTCTGTGAGTTCAAGGCCAGCCTGGTCTACATAGTGAGTTTCAGGACAAGCTGGGACTACGGGGAGACCCTGTCTCAAAAAGACCAAAACAAAATTTATTTATCTATATTTATTTTATGTGTATGAATGTTGTCTGCATGTGTATAAGTGTACCCATTTCATGCAAAGCCCAAGGAGGCTAGAGGGCATAAAATCCTGTGCAAATGGAGTTGCAGATGGTTGTTGGCTGCCATGTGGTACTGGGAGTCAAACCCGGATCCTCTGGAAAAACAAGTGCTCTTAACCCCTGAACCATCTCTCCAGCCCACTGTTTAACTTTTTAAACTTTTGTTCTATTACTATTGTCAACTTTCGGGAGTTGGTTCTCGCCTTCTTCCACAGGTCCCAGGGACTGAATTAAGAGCTTGTAGGACAAGTGCTGAGCCATCTCACCGCCCCCCATTTTTTCAAATCTATTTATTTTTGGTGAGTGTGTGTATGTGTATGCATGTGCATGTGTATGTGTGTGCATGTGTGTGTGTGTGTGTGTGTGTGTATGTGTTTGTGTGTCTGCCATGGCGTGCCATGGCAGATAGAGGACAGTTTTAAGGAGTCAGTTCTTGCATTCCACTTTACTGAGGCAGGGTCTCGTTTCTGCTAAAAAGGCTAGCTGGTCTGTGAGCTTCTAATCAATTCTCCTGTGTCCAGCTCCCATCTTGCTGTAGGAGTGCTGGGATTATAAATGTATACTTCTGTACCCAACTTTTTACATGAGTTCACAGTCAAACTCAGGTCTTCAAGCTTACAGAGCAAGTGCTTTTTACTGGCTGAGCTACCACTCTGGCCCTTAAATGTGATTACATAACAGGTTAGAATGGAGAAAGGGGCTCAAGGGTTCCTATGCGCGGTGATGATCAGTATGATCACATGGGATTTGTTCTATCACAGTGTCTGAATTATCTGATTCCAAAGCACCTATAGAAAAGTAGAACTTCATTAACTGTTCTGATTTGATTCTGGTCTTGACAAATACAAACTCAAGTGGTTATCCTAATCCCTTAATCCTGAGAGTGGCCAAGAGGGACAAGGGAAAGTGAGTCAGTTCTCCGCAACACCTCTCTACCGTTCTACCTCACATTGGCAGCTACGTGTTTATTTTTTATGTACATATTTATTAACACAAAAAGTCGTGTTTTATGCTAACATACCTCAGTGTTTGATACTGCAACAGGCAAGAGTAAACGACGGGCTGAAATACCTTACCTTGGGATGAAAAGCGAAGCACATGCCTGGAGCCTGCCTAGAGATGAAGGTTTCCCCTTTCTTTGCCTTTTCCGTGCTCTTTTTGGTGTTGGCAGTCGCGGTTCTCCTCAGTCGCATCAGGTCTTTATTAAAAGAAAAGAAATACGCGTAGCTTGTTATTTAACCACATGAAAAGGTAAAGTGAGTGTCATGCTTGTCTCTTCTGCAAAGTAATTATGATTTTTGACATCGTATGTGTATGACTGGGTTAAAATCAGGAGAAACAACGGCCAAGCCACTGTCACTGAGCAAACCAAAGTAGGTCAACTTTCACACGTGGCACACTAGAGACTTTAGTTCACACAGCACTACGGACACACGCATCTTTTTGTTTTTACCACGACAGTCCAGTCCTTTCCGTATAGTCCACTTGGAGACCCTTCCATCCGCTGATACAGAGACTAAGGTCTCTCTTTTGTCGTTGCTGGTACTTCCTCTGTCTTGCTCTATCCACTGCACTTGCCATACAGGTCCCAAATGTTTCTGAGGTGATTCGCTAAAACAGGAGAAAATGCCAGTCAGTTCAATAAGTTTAAAGGCCGTAGAGTATAATAAGCACAGTTCACTAAAGGATCATTTTCTACTCATATAACAATATTCAAAACCATACTTTAAAATTTTTTAAATTTTTATTTATTTAATGTTCAGGGGGTTCTGCGTGCATTCCAGGGAACATGAATAGAGCTCAGAGAAGAGTGTCCAGTTCTTCCCTTCTGTCACATGGGTACCAGGTCCTCAGACTTGGAGGCAAGTGCCTTTATCCACTCATCCATCTCACTGTCCCACCCTTTTTACATCTATCTATCTATCTATCTATCTATCTATCTATCTATCATCTATCTAGCATCTATCTAGCATCTATCTCTCTAGCATCTATCTGTCTATATTTATCATGTGTGAAAACCATATTTTTAAATATTATGAGAAATGGGAAAGAAAATCACTTTACCTTAATATTTACCAAGTGTTTCTTAATTCTTTCAAAAGGAATTTTTAACTGACTTATAATCTTATTACCTATTTTAAAAGGAATATAAAAGTAAATATTTTCTTCTTAGAAATCTCTATTTCTTCCCTTCATATATCCACTCTTTCTTAGTTTAGTTGTATAAATTCTTTGAATTTATCTTAAGACATATAGAATATAAGTAACTTTATTTGTATAGTGTATTTTCCATTGTTTAAATCATTAGTTTTTTAATCAATTTAGTTCTACTCAAACAATTCTTACTACATTCACTCTTCTCCCTGTCTTTTTAGGATTGCCCACTAGCTTGATTCTGAGATTATTTTTTTCTGAACAATTAAAATGATTTCTCAGATTACTGACTCTCTATTGAATGAATGAAATGCTACAGTCCTATTTCTGATTCCCTTGATTATTTTATACAACTTCCAAATATAATAGTTCTGAACTTTTAGAAAAGGCTACATAAGTTTTGAACATTTGGTAAAAACATGAGCTCTTCTCTAGAAATAAGCACAAAGCCCCATGTTTACAAAACTATGCAGAAAACTTCAAAGTTAAGTTTTAAGAACCACTGCTTTAATGACTATACTCAGTCCTAACCAAGTTTACCCTCACATTAATATAAATATACCTCCACATTTTAGTCACATTAATATCTGGCCTAGTAAAACAAGCAAGCAAACAAAATTCCTGGCCTTATTTAACTGTCTTTCATCTTTACCCTCCTGGTATTCTAACTTACTCATTTACTGACTCCTTCATTCTTCATCACACATTTCGTCCACGGCTGTTACATGCCAAATATTCTATGACATGAGAATGCAAAGGTAAGGTCTGTCTATCTTCTTATCAACAAATAGTGTGTATACAGCAACAAGCATTATGATTAAGGTCGATATAAGATGCACCAAAGAAAGGAATAGCGTTTCTTAGAGGAGGTGAAGCCAAAGCAATGTTTAAGAATATCCATATGCCGGCTGGTCTACACAGTGAGTTCCAGGACAGCTGGGGCTACAGGGAGACCCTGTCTCACAAAGACCAAAAAAAAAAAAAAAAAAAAAAAAAAAAAAAAAAAAAATCCATATGCCATCAAGCCAAAAGAAGTTCGTTGGTAAGTCGGGCATGATGGTGCATGCCTTTAGTCCCAGCACTCAGAGAGGCAGAGGCACACAGATCTCTGTGAGATCAAGGCCAGCCTAGTCTACGTAGTGAGTTCCAGGCCAGTTAGGGCTACAGGGAGACCCTGTCTCAAAAAGACCGAGAGATAGAGAGAAAGACAGAGAGAGAGAGAGAGAGTTTGTTGGTGAGGCAGGCAGAGAAGAGTATGAAGGAAGTAATAAGTAAACAATATTCCAGCTGGAGACAATATGAAATATTAAATATTTCATAAAACAATATCACCTTCAGAAGCAACAAAATATTCACTTTAAAGTAAATAACATTTTTCCTCAAAATTCAAGCATGCACTGTATGTGTCTCTATTTTGTAGATTCTCACCTACTGTCCAGAATTGGAACATTACTGCTGCTCTGTACATTGTAAATTGCTATTGTGCCATTATGATAGCCGACTGCTAGCAGATTAGGTGAGCTGATTGAAAAATCCACAGAAGTAACTCCATGTGGACTATGAAAAATACGTTCTGGCCACTGGAAGAAAATATCATATTACACTTTAAGCACTTTTGCAGACCATAGTGAGGTGGAAGATAATGGGGGCTGAGACTATCTGGTGGCAGTAGATAGGGGAGAGGGAGGGAGTCTGTGTACCTTCAGTTAGTCCTGTCTCTGATTCCTAGTACATATGAAAATGAAACCTCAACTAGCTACCACCTTTATTCTAGTAAAACTATGAATCCTTAGCCCTTAATAGCTTAAAAATACATTATGGATTTCCACAATACTTGTCACATTTGGTGACCTTTTAACAGGATTTGCATGACCATCACATATTTTCCTCCCTATACAAACACATAATGGGCTGCAAATAAATCATCACCCACTTCTAACTTCTGGCATGTGCTTTAGAAAGGTGAGTTACGTCATTATTTCTAGATAACGAACAGGGGGAAAACCTCCAAAGCTCTCCGAGGTACTTTTTTTTGCAATTCTATCATGTCTCATCTAAATCGTTTCCTTTCTAACCCCATATGTAAAAAAGAAGACAAGCTGCTGCTGCTGAATTCTGTGAGTCCTGCCACATTTAAAACAGCTCATTGCTACACTATCAGCCCGGCTTCTATGACTACTTCCAATAATTTTAATCATTGTGTATGCTCTTTTACCCTCCCTCCAAGTTTTCTACTTCACGTTTACTTCTGACTTAAAACTAACTGAGAAGCCGGGCATGGTGGCTCACGCCTGTAGTCCCAGCACTTGGGAGGCAGAGGCAGGCAGATCTCTGTGAGTTCAAGGCCAGCCTGGTCTACATAGTAGTTCCAGGACAGCTGAGGCTACAGGGAGACACTGCTTCAAAAAGAAAAAAAAAAAAAAAAAAAAAAAAAAAAAAAAAAAACCTAACTGAGGATAGCTGATATCCAATGATATGCTGTTCATAGAAAAGACAATCAAGCATAAAGAGATGCTTTACAAGGATCCTCATTCACCTACAGACTCACTTTATAATAGCTGTGATAGTAATGGCTCAATTTGCATCATTAGATTTAACAGTACATAGAAGATATCCAATATTTATTCAATGAATCCATAAATGTTAGTAAGAACAAATCTTGATTGGGAAAATGATGTGATTGCTGGGGTGGTGGCTCAGTTGGTAATTAATTGCGTTAAAAGCATGAGTACCTGAATTCAAGCCCCAGAACCCATGTGAAGGAATTGTGTGTGGGTGTGTAATTCTGTTGGGAGGCAGAAACAAGCAGATTTCTGAGGCTAGCCAGTCTGCCAGCCTCATCTATGAGTTCCAGGCCAGGGAGATACTGTCTTGAAAAGCAAAGTGGGAGGTGCCTGGGTTGTCCACTGGCCTCCATGTGCACACGCACAAAGGTGCACACAACTATTACACACTTGTTACATATATAAAAATGAAAAGAAAGTAAAAAGAAGTCTTGACTTATAGAATTTTCTGGACTTCATTGAATCATTACATATTAATCATATACTGTATAAAAATCTTGTCAACATTTGACTAAATAAAAACGATTATTGCTCCTGTTTGGGTTACCATGGGATTCTTTATTGACCAGCAGCAAGCCATTCCTCTTTTTTGCTCTTTAAATCCAAAGTGCCCATAGCCAACAGCCAAAAGGTCCTGAAAACCAGAAAAAAAAAAAAACACTAAAATAAGATAGCATAAAATATTAGCAAATGCTACTAATGAAACTGTATTTTTTTTAAAAAAAAACTACTCATAAGGGAAGGCTGGGGCTGTAGCTCAGGGTGAGATTGTTTGCTTAGCATGCATAAGGCTCTGAGTTTGATCTCCAGCACTGCAAAGAAAGAAAAGAAAATCCTGGTAAGACTTCCTCTGATATAAAAAAATCATAAAAATGTTATTCTGTTCCTGCATTTTCCTAAGCAAATACAATTAATCAATATAATGTGTCTCATTTCCAAGTTGATGAGTAAGCACCTACAAAGTATCAATTACTAGACCAGCAAGATGGCCCAGCTGGGAAGGGTGCCTGCCACCAAGCCTGACAACTGCATTCAAATGGTGGAAGGAGAGAGCAAACTACCATTACTTGTACACCCCCCCCACACAAATAAACATAATCATTTTTAAAAGAAGAATCAATTACTTACAAGTTCTTTTACATACTGAGGTAATCTTCCAAGATTATTACTACATTTTAATGTCATTGGGGTTTCGAGGATTACATAATCATTTTAAATATAAAATAAAAAATACTTTAAAGGCAGGTGCTATGGACCAAATGTGTCCCCCTCCCGTGAGATTCATATGATGAAGCCCTAGCCTAGAATATGATTGAATAGTAAATAATCCTTTTAGGATAAGGTTCAATGAGGTCGTGTGGGTGGGGTCTTAATTCAATAGGATTGGTGGCCAGTTAGGAAGAGAAGGAGAAGACAGTAGAGTGCTCTCTGCCCTGTGAGACCACAGTTAAAAGGGGGTAGGTAGGAAGGAAGTTCTCTGGCAACCAAATCAGCTGGCACATTGATCTTTGATTTGCCAGCTGCCAGAACTATGAGAAAATGAGTTGCTGTTGTCTAGCTACACAGTCGGTCATACTTTGTTATGGTAGTCTGAACTAATATAGAAGGCCACTTCAAGAAATGCATATGCAAATACACACACACACACACACACACACACACACACACGGTGGGAGTTCTTGTTTGATTTGGAGACAGGGTCTTATATAGCCCAGGTTAGCATGATTTAGCTATGCTGGGATTACTGATGTGTATCTCCACATCTGGTTTTATGCATCCTGGGGATCAAACCCAGGGCCTTGTACATGCTAAGGAACTACTAGTCTACTAACCGATGTACATTCCTAGTGCCTAAACAAATGATTAGTGGCCAATCAAACCCAGCCTCATTTTTGATATCAGAATACTTTTTATTTTTAATTAGTATGTTTTTTGGTTACCTCCCTCATTTCAAGACGATCTCCACTCTCCAGAGATGCCTCTGACTTAAAACAGTTCTCATCTTTCCCCCTGATACTGACTAATGCCCATTTGACTCTGCTCAGGTTTAGGCTTTTTAAGGAGGATTTAGGAGACTATCTTAGGTGCTTTCACAGCACCACTTATTTTCCTGAACAAAGCACTTCAGAAGTTGTTTCTGGACCCAGTATGACTTAAGTACTGTTGTACGGCTAGTATCTTAGCAGAGTTCTGGAACACAGTGAATGTTCAATAAATATTTGTACAATAAATCAATTAATGCTATATATGCCATCTGTACTATGCTTTTATTTAACTTCATTCAAAATGATTTAATCTTGATTATACTGAATTCATTTTAAAATGCTAGTGCAGTCGGTCTATAAAAGTGTTTCAGGGGCTGGAGAGATGGCTCAGCAGTTGGTGGAATGCACTGCTTCTGCAGAGGATTCAGCTTTGGTTCCCAGCACCCACATCAGCTGCCTCTAACTCCAGTTCAAAGGGATCCAATGCCTTCTTTGGGCTGCTGCGTGCACATGTGTGCACATGATACACATCCATACAGTCAGGCCCACACACATACACATAAAAAATTAAAATAAATGTTTCATGTATCTTTATTAATAGCTATTATTAATGTAGCAAACCCACTATCTAAAAGATTTTCTTAAGTACACAGAGGCAAATTCATAGAAAGATTACTTCATTTTATTTAAAATAAACATAATTAAAATAATGTGATTTTCAGGCTTCAACAAAAATGACTATAGATTTTATTTCTAACTGTTGACAACAACTATTAGGTTTGCACATAGCATAGTACTTGATAAAACGTGTCAATGCCCTATTGTTGAAGACAGGAGATACTTGGGCACAGGATTTGGAGCAATGGAGCTCAAACTGACCTGGAAGCCACTTCCCCTGAAGGCAAGTTCTCAGAGCTTTGGAGAGCACCACACAAGCTGCTAAGGGAGAACATCAATCAATGGTCTAACCCCAGCTTCAAGGCCTAAAAACCACATCAATGACCAGCACAGCAGGTGACATTGGTGAGTATGGCACTTTCATCTTTGGGGTAATCAACAGTTACCTAATTAGACTTAAAGCCCACTCAGTGGGAGGAAACTCATGTGTGGTACTGTAAACCTAGCCAAATACACATAGTGGGAGAGGTCATAGAACTCAGAGAAAACCTCAAGGCTCACATATCCCTGGGCAAATGTAATTTCTTACTATGTGCAAAATATGGATCCTTAAATTTACAGGCAAGTATCCCAGTCACCACCCATCAAAGTAGCTTCTTTTTCAACAGATTATTACAGAGTTACACTACTGGTCACACACAGAGATTCTCTGTGAATTGCCCAAGCCTAAGTGGCACATCTAGGATGCAACCTCTACACCAAAGGCTCACGGAACATAGAACAAGGGATGACGAGAACAGTAATGCATCTTTCAGTTCTCATCAATGAAGCTCCTTCATGCAACAGATGATTAAGAATACAAAAGGCCACAAATGGCCAAAACACAGAGAATAAGAGTCTACAGAGTGTGGGTCCTTGGACATGACTCCAATATTGAGGTCCATCCATCCAGGGCTCAGGGATCATTGTGGAAGATGGGGAGGAAAGATTGTAAGAGACAGGGAGGAGGTGCATGACCATACAGAAATGGTCCTACAGGCACCTGGGCCCCTTCTCGTACAAACCTACAGCAATGGTGTCAGCATACATAAATCCCATGCAAACTCAGGCAGATGAAAACCCAGCACAGAACTGTGGAAATGAACAGTAAGCCCCAATCTTAGTGGAAGAATTACTGGCAGCTGACTGCCGCTGGGTGAGGAAGAGCTGATCTTCTTGAAGGGAGGGACTCTAGTTGGCTGACTAAACCCCAGGGGATGAACTTGCACTGAGGGACATCTGGGGACACTAACTTTACATAATAGGCCTTAACACAAAGAACAGAATGTATGAACTCCAGTGAGGGCTATGGGAGGCGCCAAATGGGGAGGGGGGATATAAAGATGATTTTCTGTATGAAATACACAAAAATTCAATAAAAATTTTAAAAGATTTGTACTTTAATTCTATTAGTGTATTGCCTGTATGTATGTTAGTGAATCCATGTCACGTAGTTTTCACAGAAGCCAAAAGAGGGCAGGCATTGGACCCCTTGGAACTGCAGATATATATATATATATATGCCATGCTATACAGTACATTAGCAGAACAAGATGGCATTGACTGCAGTTAAGTATTTGTGGGAATGTGATTGATATGCTATTAAATTTTTTTGGTCTTTTTGAGAAAGGGTCTCCCTGTGTAGCCCCAGCTGACCTGGAACTTGCTGTGTAGACCAGACTGGTGTCGAACTCACAGAGCTCCGCCTGCCTCTGCCTCACAAGTGCTGGGATTAAAGGAATGCACCACCACACCTGGCTTGCTATTAAATTTTTTTAAGTGGCAACATGTGTGGTATGATTGCTTTTCATCAAAGCAAAACATATGCAAGACTATGTCTACAACTCTGGTTTGTATAAATGTTTGCAACACTGATAAACCACGAGAAGATGTGAAGGGATAAACATCATCAGGTTGTTAGCATTTGGTACCTCAAAATGAACTGACATGGGGGTGAAATGGTGATGAGTTTTTTTTTACATATAATTAGACTGTTTTACTTGTTCAATGAGTTCGAATTGCTTTGTACTTTCAAAGAAAATAGAAATAAAAATATAGTCTTTACTTAAAACAAAAAGTGTCAATGAAGCAGAGCTAACTCTTGAATACATGAAGTACTACAGTTTTACAAAATACATTAACTTCATCAGTGTCAAAATACACTAAATATTTATTGCAAAGACACCACCACTCCCTACATGATTTTGAGTTGCTAATTGGGAAATGCCTTTAGAAACATTTCATGATCCTCAGCAGAACATCAGATTGGTTACTCTACAGCTTTTTTGAAAGCAAACAAACCATTCTCCAGCTTGGTGATTCCTCTTATTGCCTCAAGATGACTTTTGGCAGCATTTGAATCCCGGCTGCTGCACTTCCTATTTGAGTGACTTTGGGCAAATAATTTATAATCTTTGTGCTTCAAGTTCCCTACGAACCTAATGAACCACATGACTCATACTGCTGTTATATTAGTATCGACAAAACACTTTGAACCATTCCCAGTGTGTATGATGTGCTACTTATGTGTTTACAAATATTAGTAACGATACTAGTAAGGAAGCCTAAAAGTATCATTCATATTGAAAGGATCACTAGATTAAGTCTATATTTCCAAATATGATTTCTCTGATTGGAAGAAAAATTTAGGTGCATGAATTTGGGTATCTGTTAAATGAAATCAACCATATACCACTATTTTCTAATACACATCTCAGTATCTCATATGGATTTACATGATACAATGTCCCAAGCCCATCTCCTAAAATAAAAGTGGTAATGTTTCTTATATATAAGGAGAAAAATACAGTATTCTATAGCTATTTGTATTTTCTCCATTTTCAAATGTAAACTTCATTTAGAGGCATGCTAAAACTAGAAGTTATAGTCAGCTTAAATGCCTTGTCCCATATCTAAAAAACAAACAAAAATTCCTTCGTATTAGAATTTGACAGTTGGGGACAGTGTCAGTGTCAGTGGGTCAAAGTACTTGCTGCACAAGCGTGCTGCCTGTGTTCAATCCCCAGAATCCTTAAAAAGGTTGGATGTGATGACATCTGTAAGCTCAGAGATGGAGACAGAATCAGCTGGAAGCTCACTGGCCAGCCAGCCTGGAGAACAAGGGCAGAAGGGCAGTAGAAACAATAAGCAAGCCGGCCTCCACACAGTGGGTGTAAAGAACTGATGCCAGAAAGAGAGAGAGAGAGAG